GAGCACATAGTATAACTTTGAACTCTCTCTCTATCTTCCAGATACAATAAACAAAATGTCATACAATTTGAACAGTACATATGTTCTTTATAATTTTCAATCATAAGTTTGGATCTTTGCAATCTAACTAACAATTAAGAATTTATTATTTAGTTGGAAGGGATAAAGTAACGTATTAGTGTGTGTGTGTGGGGGGGGGGGGGTAGCTTGTCCTTGTGTGCGTAACGGAAGTGAACTTCAAGTGATATACATCGAGATCGATGTCGAATGCTGCCTTGATTTATAGATATGCTCTTCTGGGAGTTCGAGGGATGCTCTGCTTTGTGGCCCCCTTGTTACATTTGCTTTTATACCAACAATGTTAGGCAAATATAAAAAAAAAAGCATCAAGTTTCCGTGTCTCGTTTAGTAGATATAAATATAGTATTACTTTACTTTTTTTCTATTTAAGGTGTGTTAAGACATTTATGTGAAACCAGAGAATGTAAAATACAAGAGATAGAGGTTAATGTGCTAAGGTGAAATGTCTGAAGCTGAGACAGATTCAAGTCTGACTGGTAAAATCACATTTGTATTATACAATAATGCCTAAACATAATTTCCTTTAAAATTCATTTGAGTATATTTCATTCCTATATTGAACGTGTACTCGTATACATGTAGTAGACTATTAAATTCAAGTCTCAGTATTAAGTTCAAACCATAGACCAATGGACTGTGATGTGGCTACAGAGAGACGCAAAGATGTTATGTATAGAAAAATCTCATATCTTTTATGAATATTCAAGAATATAACAAGGGTACAAACTTAACAAGCATTCTGATTTATAGTCCATTCAATTTATCATGAAACATCATACTAATTGCAACACGCTTTATTTTGTCATAAATAAACTCTAGAATGCACAAAATAAATGTACTTAAAAATCTATCAAAAATCGGATGAGGGGAAATCATTACATGGGGTTCAGCAAATTTCTATGAAAAATTACTAGGGGAAAGGGGCATAACTCTTGTCAATTTAGTAAATTTTTGTTAGATTTTTGGTGCATTTTTCAACTTTGAAGAAAGAAAAAGTGAATTAAACAGTGTATAATCATGACATTTATAGATGCAGTTAAACCTGAATCCTAAACAAGAGGCCTATGGGCCACATTGCTCACTTGAGCACACTGGCTAGGAAGAGGCAGAAATCAGTTTAGTATTGGAAAGTTGGGGGAGGGGGGGGGGGGGGCAAACTTAAATTCACACTACCTCAGGATGATTCTATATCAGTATTACTAATCATGGCTTTGCTGTTCTTAAACAGAAAATTTTTAAAGGTTTTTCCCCTTATGTATTCCTATGTAAAACTCTGATCGCTCATTGTGGTCCCACCCTACCCACCGTAAAGAACAAATTTGAATCTACACTTTCTTAATTAGGATGTTTCTATAATTATAATATGACTAATCATGGCTTTGGAATTCTTGAGCAGATTTTTTTTTCAAAATGATTCTTATATATTCTTATGCAAAGGTTCCCATTGATAGATAAGAACCAGTTGTCTCAATCTTCTTCATATTTATTACACCCAGAACTTCTCATCAATTCCCATTCCCCAGGATGAAACTGATTTTTACAGAAAAATTTAGAAATAATTTAAGTAATTTTTGATGAGAAATATATAGATCATTCTATTTTTTAACAGTTTATTTACATATTTTTAAATTTTAAGTCCATCGGATGGGACATTAAATGGTGCCCTGTGTCAAGGATTACAACCCCCTTGGAACGTAAAAGATCGTTTCTCTGGATTTCGAAAAAGAGTAGGCTCACTGGGGGCCGCCAGAGAAACTAAAACCTTTCAAAAACCGGTCATTTAACCAAAATTATCCGCCGAAATATGACTGAAATACCGGTATTGCCGACTCGGCTTTAAACAATATACAATCAATCAATTCCCCAGGATACTTGCCACTGGTGTTTATAACTTTTATTTTGCTCTTTTCCTTAAGGTTTTCCATCCTCTATCCTTAAATGCCCATCACATACATAATACTCTGATATTAATTTAAAGCATTTTACAGTATAGAAAAGTATTTACCAAGAGAAAGTTTCAAAAATGTAATTACCTAAGCAGCAAGTACATGTACTTAACAAAGATTGCATTAGAGTCTATGGAGCAATTTTGTAAAAATAAAAATTCAAATAATAAGAATATCAATAAATACTGTTGTGGGAAAATGTACCAAAACACATTAGAAATAGAATGACAATTAAAAAGATTTTTTATTTACCATATTTGATTGATTTTTTTTTTTATTAATTAAAAACAGGTGGAGATAACTCTTACTAAACTTCAAGATCATAAATTAGGACACATCCCAACCTTACATGCTAATAGTAATAAATGGAATTATGCCTAAATATACCTACACATCTTTTATGTATTCAATTTTATTGAATCTTTTGCTATTAGGATGGATACCTTAACTTCTTTATTGCTGATTCAACATCCAACTTCTTCAGCTACTTTCTGAATGCCTGACTTTCCCAAAGCTTTGTCTTACATACCCTTAGGCTAGTCCATTCCAAGGGTTGTGAAGTCATTCCACTATCTGAAGTCTTCTTCAATTTTACTCAATTGCCCCTTAACCATTACACCTATATATTCCTATGTAAACCTTGACCCACTGTTGTGGCCCCGCCTTACCCCCTGGGGTCATGATTTAAACTTGAATCTACACTACCTGAGGATACTTCTGTATTAATATGACTAATAATGGCTTAGCTGTTCTTGAGAGAAAGATTTTTAAATATATTTCCTATATATTTCTATAGTAAATTTTGACCCTCCTGTAGTGGCCCTGCCCTACCCCAGGGGTCATGATTGGAAAAACTTGAATCTTCACTACCTAAGGATACTTCTATTATAATATGACTGATCATGGATTTGCTGTTCTCGAGAAGAATTATTTCCCTTGAAAGAGGGCCTTGCACTTCCTGTGAACAAACTTAAAACCCTTCACCCAAGGATGCTTTGTGGCAAGTTTGGTTGAAATTGGCCCAGTGGTGTTTCTTGAGAAGTCGAAAATGTGAAAAGTTTACTGACGACAGACGGACGCCGGACACTCTTTCATCAGAAAAGCTCACTTGAGTCTTCGGCTCAGGTGAGCTAAAAAAGCTGAAGTAATATTTACAATATAATATTTTATTAAAAATAGCAATACAAGTATAAAATGCTTGAGCCACACAGTAAATAAACACCTTGAAAGTCATCCAATACATAAAATAATAATAAATTGACCCGTCCTGAGCATGGTTTACTTTTTTCATTTTATTATTGCAAGTATTTTAGTATATGTTATAAATCTCTCCACAATGTATGTTATACTAAAAAAGTTTTAAATCTGTAATTTTGTATGAATTTGGTCAAACTTCTTCTAAATTCGGTTCTCATACATCCTCTTGAAATATTGTCATTTGCTCAAATAATTTGTCTATATCATAAAATTAATATCTTTATCAAAAATGGAATTTTTGAAAACATTTCATATACAATCAACAACCAATTGCAAGTTATTTCAACAGTTTATACGCACAACAATACTAACACATGCAATATCAAGTAAAATATGTGTCCCTGATCTTATGAGCTTAAAAATTTCGATTGCGTGAAGAAACAAAGGCCTATGCATATAGACAATTATTGTAGCACAGTATTTGATATAATCAAAACATATTTCTCTCTCCTTTTTCCAAAGGACATACATGTATTTAAAGGTCATTTCAAAGATATGAAGACTTTTCTTGAAGCTCCAATAAACTTTCCAAAAAAATCTAAAATATACTTCTATATATTGTAACTAGATATAAAAATATTTGTAACGATTGATATTCACCGGCTTAAATTGATGTATATTAACCTACTGGACCCGATATCTTCTAAGTAATATTCACCACTTTAAATCGATATTTACCGACTAAAATCACTATTCGCCGACAAGTAATATTCAACAACGAAAAGGAATTACATTCACCAACTAAAGGTGTTAATCAGAGACTAGAAGGGAAATCCATCCATTGACGTTTAAAACTCGCGTTTTGAATTGTAAGTCTTCAAGAAAGTACCAAATCTGTGGCTGAAAACAAAAACTATTAGTTTGAATGTAAGGGGCCAAACTTAAACAGCGAGTTTTATTAACGAAAACAGGATTCATGGAAAATATGTGAGCCAAAAATCTTACTAGTTAAATCCATATTTTAAGCGATACAGGAAAATTAATTCTAACTAGATTTCTGACCAAAAAAAAGTATGCCATAATTTCATAAAACATCTCGAGTAACGGTTTACTAGGATTATGTTCATAATTAATGACAACTGGGTATTTTGATTATTCTAAGAAAAAAAAACACTTTTATACAAATATGAAATGTATTTAATTTATTTAATTTTAATGATATCGAAAAAAAATCCTTAAGCGATTATTTTCTCCTACTTTATTAAGTACACTCAGTACTTTTCATTAATCAAGGTTAAGTGTATTACACGTCCTGCACGTACTTACATGTAATTCGTGCTGCTACTAGTTCAAGTATAGATATTTTTCGTGTGACCCTTTCTCTCTGAGTTATTTCCCTTGGCCGCCATATTGGAATGATTGCTTGATTGTACGTTGTTTTATGTCCCGTTCGAGAATTTCTTCATATATCATTGGTGAAGGGCTTCCAGTGTAGACTATTATTTGGCACTCAGGGCCATTGAGCAGAGAGCTAGGGATCTTTATCCTGCAAACACCTGCCATGACACGGGGCCTCGAATTTTAAATTTCATCTGAAAGACCTCCAAAATGGCGACAACGGGAAAAAACTCTTGATAAATTCATGATCTTGAAAACTATATTGTCTCAAAATTAATTAATCTCACATATACCTTTAGTTATTTCTCATATATACTCCTAAGAATTATGCATCATAGAAATCAAAATACCAGGAACTTATGCCAAAAATAACCAAATATACTTTAAAATCTCTTATGATCTGCCTAAAATATTTCTACGAAGTGTAGATCCCAGATCTCCCGGTAAAGACCGGCTGTCAACATTATACTTTTCCGCCTCCGAAGTAGACACTGGCCGCCAGTCTACTGAAGGTCTCAAGGATGCACACAATTTCTACAAAACGACATATGTATATATTAAAATAAGACAAAAACATTAGTCACTAAAATGTAAAACTCAAACTGTACGTTTTTAGAATACAGTTATCTATTTTGGAAAGAAAAAAATTAATGTCTCTGAAACAGCACTGCAAGCACATGTGTTTTGCCCGTCAGAAAAATAGGCCATCATGAATTATTTTTACACGATGATACATATATATGGAGATAAAAGTCTATACAAGAAGAGACGTATAATACAATAGTCAAACCAATGCAAATTCTCAAGTAAACACCTCGTATAAAGTTCCCCCTGAGCACTTCCGCAGTACTCGTATTGCACAGAAGGGCAGAGGAACAAGAGGAAGGGCAGCAAAAATCCAGCCTACTGCCCGGGCATACGCCGGATATGTGTATGTACCAACCATTGGCGGGCGGTACGTGTACAGCGAAGATATCAGTAGAAGCTACAAAAGAACAAGTTTTTTTTTTATACATGTATGTAATTATTTCAATGCAAGTATTTTCTTTAAATTTCAAAGCTTTTTTTTAAAATATATTCAAATTTAAAGAGATGCAAGTTGTTATCCATTTATTTTGAATATGCAAAGGTGATTGTTTTTAAGGTTCCTCAATCCTCTGTTCGCTTTTATACTGTACATGCAAAATCCTGCTTCAATGCCAATGATTTTCCAAGAAAAATAAAATGAAATTAAATGCACACAGTTCAGCATGATGACGTGTACCTTGCGGGGCAAAATTTGACAACAAACCTTCTTTTAACTTTACAATTTTATGAAATAATGATAATTATTTATCCATGTGAGAGTTATCTCTCTTAGCAGAGGGCCGATGAACCTTATCAAAAGAGTCTATATTGTGCTGTACATGTATGACGGGTTTATTTATGGTATAAGAACTTACAGTATTTCACAAAAAAGTAAAATTTATTTATTTTTAATTGACACCTTCATTAAAGAAATTTAAATTAATTAAATGTGTTAATAAGCAGTAAAAATGCTTATGAATATTAGTATATTTATTACTTTGGTGATATTACAATGCTTACCAGTAGCAATAAAGGAGTAACGATACACCATAGAATCCTCATATACACTGGTACACCCCTGCCTAACATGATTTCTATATCACGTGACATGTTCTCCGCACCTAAAACACAATATATAAGTACAGTTCTACTAGTATATGTACGCAAATGTCACAAGTAAATAACAAGAGGCCCTTTACGGTCACCTGGGTATAAAGCAACACTGTAAAGAATCCATAGATTGATTGATTGTAACATGTTGTTTTACTGTAGTTCCCGTTCGAGAATTTTTCACTCGTATAAATACATCACTATATACCGGTGAAAGCCTTCAAATTTAGACCTTTACTCGGCACTTGGGCGATTGAGCAGTGAGGGTTTTTTATCGTGCCAACGCCTACCGTGACACGGGGCCTCGGTTCTTAAGGTCTCATCCGAAGGACTTTCACTTCAAAGAGTGCCGAGCGCTTGGCGAAGGAACAGTTGCTACCTATTTTTTTTATCGACTTAGGTCAGTCGCGGCCGTGATTCGAACACGGAGCGAGCGCTCTACCGACTGAGCTACAGTGACGGTAAGAATCCATAGAAGAATATAAAATAAACTGGTAGATGTGTTAGATGTACATGTGTTACCAAGAGAAATAGGATGATCAGGGATGAAGACAAAAGGTACCCGGTAACAAATCATAAGGTAGATCAGCTTACTTGCCTGCACTTGCCAGTACTTATACACCATATTTGTCATTATCACCATTCAGACTAAATATTACAATAGTCCTTAATCACTTAAACTAACCCATCGTATTCTCTTACATTGGTCTGTCTTAATTTAACAAATATTTAATGTACAAATGTATTTTGTCTCATTTTTATTTCATCTTTTATTCACGAATTTAACTGATCATTTAAACCTAAGAAAATAATTTTTGTATAGTACATAAAAAAATCTTGTGTAATTCTTTTATTCATCTGACTTATCAATTGAATTATTTCAGGTGATTAATCACTTAAGTGAATAGAAAAAAAGAAAAACTAACCTCAGTGGAGTAAAAATTTCCCTACAAGCTCAATGGAGCCCTGCCCAGGACCAAAACATTTAACCTAGTGGTCCAAATTTTCACCAATTTGGTAAAAACACCCTTTATCATTACAATTTGTAGTCTGTTTGCCAGGGGGCCCTAAATTTCTCAATTTTGGATTAGCATCCTTGCTCATCATTACCATGCATTTACCGGTAGTTAATTTGCTAATAACCCAGGAACAGCGAAGATTTTCAATGAGTTAAAGCATGTTCACTAACTAACTTATTTACCCTACCCTAGCAAAAGAACTAGAGAGCCAGAGCCTGAATTTCAAAATTTTGGAAGGGGCACCTCTATTCAGCATAGCCATCCTCTAGTTATTTGCTGAATACCTAGGAGCAAAGAAGAACATTTTCAAGGAAATCATACATTCTCACTATAAGATCAATAGAGCCCCATTCAAACCCTGACCCAAGGGCAATTTGGAAATTTTTTTCAAAGAAGTTTGTTCACTGTATACTGCGCACAGTCCTGTTCTAACATCAGAACCCCTGTCCCAGGTGCCGTGAATTCACAATTTTGGAAGGGGCATCCTTGCCCATCACAGTCATGCACTTTGTTTGCTAATACCCAGGATCAGAGAAGATTTTCACAGGAATAATGCATTTTCTCTATATAATCAAAATATAATACTGCCCTAACATCCGAACCCCCTGACCCAGAGTCCATGAATTTCACCTTTTTGGTAGAGGGCTCAATGCTTCTTACAATTATGTCATCTGACTGCTTGGTGTCCAGGAGTAAAGAAGAAGTTTTAAAAAAAAAAATTGCATTAATTTGATGGTTTTTGTCCCACCTCTCAGACCCCAGGAGGGCGGGGCCATGAATTTTAAAATTTTTGTTTCCCTTTACATATAGATGCTATATGCCAAAATTAAAATTGGTTCAGCAGTTCCAGAGAAGAAGATGAAAATGCTAAAATGTTAACGCATTACGACGAACGAAAACAGATAGCAACATGTCATCTGAGTTACTCGGATGACCTAAAAAGCAATCAATCTCGCCCCTAGGATCACGAGGCAGTTTAACACTTAATTCAGAATTTCTTCAAATTTTATAATAGAAATAGTTAATAATTATAATATATTAATTATATATTAAATAAATAATTATAATAGAAAACACAGAGAATTTGAAATATTACCCTTCCATATGTTGTTGATTTTTATTTTCAAGTTTCAGTTTACAATATATATATAACTACTAGTATCTATTTTATAGATGACTAGAATTTTGACTTAATATAAGACTACTTCATGATCCTGGGACCCTGTCCATTAACATTAGCGGTATTACAACTTCTTTACAAAATACCAGTAACAGTATTAAGATTAATATATTAGCGAATTGTACAAAAACTACAAGTACACAACAATAGAAATCTTTCTCAAGAGGTATGTTTGAGATTGCAGCTATTAATCGCAACAGAAACAACATGATATCTGCTCACGCACAATACATTTAAAGCCTTAATGAAGGTAATATTTTCGGAAAACGATACCATAAATCCAGCCGAAAATCACACATTCCAGGACCCCAAACAGTGGAAGTGCAAACGCGGCTATATACCAGTCCAGTAATTGGAAAATGTAGAGTCCAGCCTGAAAAAAAAATCCAATTCTTAATTATTTATTTTATAATTTTTTTTTTTATGTAAAAAAGACTTTATGATACATTCTATTGCGTCAAAAATACATCATGTGTTAGTTCTTACGCCTGTACACAAAATCAATCCAACGAAAAAGAAGAATAGACAGGATAATATTGAAAGGAGCGCCTTGTGTTTTCTCAGGCGGGGGAAAACGTCACTAGCCGCGGTCATGCACGTCTCCAGGGGAGCGAACTGAAGGAAAAAATATGACCCACAATTATACAAAGTATTTAAAATAAGAGCAATGGTTCGACTTAAAATGATAAATTATTTCAGATGAAATATCTTTTCCCAAAATCTTTTACCAAATAATATTTCCATGTCAGAGTGGTCTTAAACTACACGAACCTGTTATATACTATTGATTTTAAATCACTGCTGTTTTATGTTTGTTTTGTTTTTGTTTTTTGTTTAGTTTTTGATTAAGGTAAATTAGTTTAATACTACATAATTTATATTTTTATACCTGACTGTCTAATCCAACGGTGAACAACATCACAAAGAACACTACGCCCCAGAGATTCGGAAACGGAAGTTGTGAAAGAGCTTCCGGATAGACAAGAAAAGCAAGTCCAGGACCTTGCAAATGAAAGCAGTAAATTTCAGTTTTTAAAGGAGGTTTAATTCTCTTTGCATAGGGAATCTTAGCTACAGAACTGTAGCTCTCCGCTTGAGAAAATTCGGACAGAAAAAAAAATTTTCTGTCCGAATTTTCTCAAGCGGAGAGCTACAGTTCTGCAGCTAAGGTAATCATAACAGTCGATCAGATTAAATAGATCAAATAGTTGAAAAGCTGGTGAACAGACAAATATTTGCCAGACATATGAACAATAAACCTCCGAGTTTGGTCTTCGCAAATCACAGCGTGCTTTCTAAGATTTATGGGTGTTTCTACACAGTATCTTACCTGCTTGGACAACATCCTCTACAGGTTTCCCTGCTACATGAGCCATGTATCCAACAATGGTAAATATAGCAAAACCTCCAAAAATACTAGTGCCTTCACTGACTAGGGTTAAGATTATGGAATCCCTGAAATCAAATTATTATTGAATAGATTGTACTAGAACTCAAATATCATTATGTCAATCAATTCTGAAATAATATGAATTTTATATATAGATAAACAAACAAACAACGAAAACCTACATTATTGATGGCGCCATTTTGGACGACACTGAAGTTGGGCAGATTAGAAACCAAAACAGGTAAACTGATATTATTTTAAATAAAAAAAGAAGATAAAATGTAAACAAGTAAGGATAAGAAAAACAACAGATTAAAAATAGAGAATTTAATAGTATAGGCATAAATCGTTTATTAAAAATGAAATAGAAAGTAGTTGTACGACAGATCAGTTTTAATATGTGAATTATATATAATTTTATGAAGCATTCAAGTCTTTGTTTTAAATTGCTAATCAGTGACAAGGGATTTTTAAGACTATGTACTGTGGGGGGATTTTTGATTATAGTTGTCTATATGAATATCTACATCAAACAATTCGTGAAAGTCGGTAAAACATAATATTAACATTGATTAATGTTGTAACCTGTAGCAATTATTGTGGAATTTGTTGTAGCTGGCCATAGTAATGAGGGGTCCCCATCCTGGTCCAAGTGAGTAAAACACCTGTAGACCTGCCTCCAACCATACCTGTATTGATAATAATTAATCGAATTCATAATATAATACTTAATAATATATTATACATGTATATTAATAATAATTAGTATTTAATCAAATCTTCGTCGCTGTATAATGTCGTCGTCACATATTTGGATACTATACATGTATTATTCCAACGAAAACGTGGCAATGAAAAATATTTCAAAACATGGAAAAAATGAATAGACCACTCATTAACAAATGAAAAGGATCCTACGTTGGTACGTTGGACAAGAGAAATTCGTTGTAGAATGTATATTCCTTATAATTTTTTTATCATACCTGAACATTTGCAAGCTTCTTGAAGTCTGGTCTAATGTAGAAAATAATACCATCGACTGCACCAGGCAGCGTCAAACCTTTTATTAGGATCACAGTCAGCAAGAGGTAAGGTAGGGTAGCCGTGACGTATACTACCTGTATATTTCACATGTCAAATTATTCTCTATTTTTGAAAATTTAAATTATAGTTACATGTATTGTACTAGCTGCAATAATGTAGCCCTCTCCGATTTTTTTTAATCTGATATTTTCAGGAGAGGGCTACAATTCCACTGCATCTCCGTAATGGTGCAAATATATTTTTTTAGATATGGGCGACTGCAGGCAAAATAAATTGTTTTTGCATTCAACTTACTTCCAATAAGACGGAATTTTTATTCACTATCAACATCATAGCCCTTTATACGCGAAAACCAAGTAAAATAAATATACGTGTTTTCCAGTCGTTCACCTCAGCAGCCATGACAGTTCTCGCGTGATGTACTGAGACTTGCGCTTGAAATTTAGAATCACTTGATAATGTAAATGTCGGTGTTGATAAATGTTTGTGTTGTATGATATAACTAAACATCGATAAATAAAAGCATTCCACGTGATATTTTTATCATAAACAGTGATATTTATGCTTATAATAAGGGAAATCCATACAGATCCGCACCCCTAGATCCCAAATTCTCATTGGTTGTCCCAAAATAAAATCGATCAAGGTCAGTAAACATGGCGGATAAATTCAAGTTGTGATGTTGACATACACGAAAAATAACCGATATACGGATTGTTCTGTATATTTTTGGATCAATTCATGTCCTGCATAACTACATTTTATGAGTTCAGGTAAGATATGTTAATAAAATAGCCACTTACTGATAATTTGAGCCGAAATCTGTGCGGTAGTGAATCACTCCCGCACTTGCACCATTACAGAGATCCTAAGGAGTTGTAGCCCTCTCCCAAAAAAAAAAAAAAAAAAAAAAAAAAAAAAATTGGAGAGGGCTACATTATTGCAGCTAGTATTGTACAAGAATGGTAACATAAAAGCTTTAAAGGTGCTTAGACACAGATTTGAAGTTAATATTTTCTCAAATTTTCAGTATAATATCACGACTTATATATTGCAATAGCATTTCACACGAAAATATAGTTAAAAACTTATTTTATCTGGAAATATTGGAGCTACGAATTCCTGGACGCGTTTGATGAACACATCCTTGCACTTTCACAAAGAACGAGGGCGCTTTTGATTGGAATTCGGCAGGAATCTGGGCGCACTTGAAAAGTGAAAATTTCATTGATCTGTCACATGAAATTTTAGCATTCTTTTGATGTATCGGGTTCCTATGAAATGGGAAAGGGAAATATTTTCCCGATAATGTATTTTGATTCGCTAAAAAAGAACTTGAAAATTGGCTAGATGAGTCATTTGGTACAAAATGTTACATTTTTAACCACGTTTCTCTAAAAATTTGCTATCTCTGGGTCATCTCTCCATGATATTGAAACGTTATTTGTGTGAATTTTAATTCAAAGAAACTAACAAACATTTGAAAAAAATGGAGAGAAGACCCAGAGACGATAAAAAATGAACTTTTTCCAAAAAAAATCCCAGTGTGTAAGTGCGGTGCTTCATTGTCGCTTTAAAAGTCATAGTGTGTGTAGCCGTGATAGCTCAGTAGTATGAGCTACCCGTCCAGTGCAACGTAAAAGAAATATTTTTGGTTCGATCCTTGCATGGAGCGTTAATATTTTTTTTTAGTACAAACAAACAATTCTTTTTTCAGTTTAAATTTATATACTGATTTATTTTCAAATAGACAAATTCTGGTTCTGTTGCACCGAAAGCGAAAGCAATTCTTCCAATCTACTGATACTTTAATATATACATGTACTCGTAATTGCATTTAACTATACCCTATAGGTGTTTATTATTTATGTGAAGCGTTACTAAGTTTTACATGTAGTAATTATTAAGATAAGCGGACTGATATATTAAATTTGACAAAGTATTTCAAACTAAATGTAACATTTTCCCATGTGCGTAACTTTGTAAAGTATGTCCAGCTGTGGTCAGCCGACCAAATCGTAGACATTTAAACTATAAATGTTTCGTACGCCTTATTCCTGCAGATCACACGCCAAACACGCCCATCTTCTTTATCATTATCCTTAATATTTAAGAAAAGAAGCGATTTCGTTGTGTATTAACGAAAAACATTACATCAATAATCCAGAAAATTCAGAGTAGAAATGTGCGAAAGCAAACCTCACTAATATCGTCAGCTCGTGCTCAGTGTTGTGTACAGAGTTTAACAAATTGAATACACCCGTGAAACGTAAACTGTTTTTGTAAACAGGGCACGAGCTCTGTTGTTGATAATGTTTACGATTCACCGGGTGTGTTCAATTGTTAAAGTCTGCACACACCACTGAGCACGGACTGACAATATATACTGTGAGTGGATTTTGCTTTCGAACATTTCTACTCTGAATTTTCTGGATCGTAGTTTTAATATTTTTCATTAATACACAACAAAAATTGCCACTTTTCTTAAGTATTAAGAATAAAAATAAAATTTTTGAAAGTGCAAGGATGTGTCAATCAAACGCATCCAGAAATTTGAAGTTTCAATAACTTCGAGATGAAATAAGATTTTTATCATATTTTACTATGAAATGCTATAGCAACATATAAGTCATGAAATTATACAGAAAATTGGAGAACATATTAACTTCAAATCTGTGTCCAAGCACCTTTAAAGAAATTTAACATTTTTTTCAGAATCTATGGAATTGCTTAAAAAACGAGATGCTCTTGATCGCATATTTACGCCCATTCAACTTTCCAGTTGCTTTATACAAGCAAAATAGAAATCACATTCTGGCAAGTTGATAACGTAAGTATTATCAGCGCCTAATTCACGTCAATAAAATTAAACTAATTTGAAAATATTTTATGCTTTTTAATTTCAGCGATTTTAGAGCAAACTTTCAGAGAGAAATGAAATATTGGCATTACCACATGTATATCCCAACATGCGGGATGTATACTATGTTGTGCAATGGGGTATGCTTCGGAGCATAAAAAAGGGGGGCCAAGGTACGTTTTGTGTCCAGTTCCCTGGAAAGCCTATGCTTACGGAAGAAAACATTATTTTAGGAGCATATGGATACCTGTAAATTCATTGTACACTTTCTAGTTTCATCAAACACCTCAACACAATTCCGAGGATCAGAGCAAGATTGATCTGTTTATGATCATTCATTTTTCGTCAATATCTTTAAATACGAGCTATTTCATTTGCAGACAATTTATACATACATTAATATAGATAACGTGTTAAACAGTATAGTACATGTATTATAAAATTGATGATATAGTTAAGCTTTGTTCTGATAATTGGTCATAAACCCAATGTATCATCAATCATGATCTTATCTTCGGAATTGTGTTTGATGAAACTAGAAAGTGTATTAATAGTAGATTCATAGGTATCAATATACTCCTTAAAATGCTTTATTCTGTAAGCACATACGCTTTCCGGCTGAAATGTATCCATAAATTGAGCAATTGGACACAAAACGTACATGTACCTGGACCCCCTTTTTGTCGCTTAGAAAGCACACACCCCGTGCACATCATAGTATACAACCCGCATGTTGGGATATACACGGTGATTACACCGCAACAAAATATTAGTGCATATGGTGTATATTGTATCTTATTTCACTGGGTATAATATTGACAACATTGTTTTGATTAAACTTTATAGTTCTTACGTCATCTTGATTGCCAACACAATTCAGAAGTCCATACTAACGGCAAAAAATTGTCTATCGTGATACTGAACTTCATCCACACATGTAACCGTATTATAAACCACAATATGTTGAGATTTTCAACTAGGCAGAGTTACCTACCTTTCCAAGAGATTTGACGCCTTTAATCAAACACAGACAAACCACGATCCAGGCCACGATAAAACAGAGCAGAAGTCGCCAATTCAAGGACCCGATCTCGTGAAGACCATCCGACAAATCAAGAACTCGATTACTAAAATAATTGAATTTTTTTATACGTGAGTAAAAAACTACGAACGATACAGGAATTGACATTTTCCGGATTTTTTTTTTTTTACTTTTATTGTTTAATGGAAGTTAAAATATATTATTGTTGAAAATTAGACTTCTAGCAATAATAATAAGACCAATCAAACTTTTCACTTACAACCAGAATTGTTCCTCGCTGGTTGTACCTGCACCACTAGTTTCATTTAAGGCATCTATTTCAATTGAATAATTTGAGGTTGCCTGTGAGAATGATGCGTTGTACAGTGTGATGTTGTAAGTTGTTTCTGGCAGGTTGCGGATACAATCCCTTGTATTCCATTCATTATCACAACTCGACCAGGGGAGGGGATTGAAAAAGGAACTTCCCATGTAGTATAACGTCCAGGTATTTATGATATTATAGTAAAGGGTTATAACAAATAGAACGACGAACATTCCGACACCAATTCCTAAAAAAAAAAATTCATTTCCTTCAAGCATTTTTAATGAATAAATCTGGAGGTTTAAATAGAAAAAATACATTCAGATCTTTATTGTAACGATAAATAGAAGATTTTTTTCCACAAACAATTCTCTAGTAAATAGTATTTAAATTTGCAAATGTAAAATGTTAAAAGTTTAATTAGATTTAGCTCTAGCTTTCTGGGATTTATTTTTTAAGGGGGCGTGTGGAAGGAGGTTCTTACCTTTGAAGAGAGGACACGCCTCCCAAACATGAAAACAGCCTTTGCCGGTAAATTGTCCAAGAGAGACCTCAAGAAAGTAGAGAGGTAAGCCACAGGCCAAAAGGAAGAACAGGAATGGAATAAGGAAGGCTCCTATTAAACAAGAAAAAAATATTTGTTAAGTTCAGAGTTTAACAAATGCAATACAGGAATTTAAACAGAATAAACCAGCTTCGTGTACATACTAGTATATGTAAGCACAACTAAATATCAATATATCTTTAAGTAGGCTCTTAGTCTAATATATGAATATATATGTGTCCGTGAAGAGTAGGTTCCTTCATTTGGTGTGTTGTTCATTTTGTCTCACACGTTGGTATCAGACAATATCAAACAAAATGCGAACGATTATAGGTCATTTTAAAAATTCTCGATTGGCTTGCTTCCAACGTTCTGGGACAGTCCACAGAAATTTATTATTGTAACGTACTAATATATTTTGAACGTTAACGTCTTCGAGTATACGTAACAAGAAATTAAATGCTAATGATTTCACGCCTACGAAAAAAGCAGAAAAGACTATGTATTGTGTAGTAAATTTTCATGAAAATTAATGGGGGGGGGGGGGGGCGGGGGTTGGCAAAAAAGTGGTTACATTTTCAGATAGATCACCCTCCATTAAACATATATCACCAGTTCATTTTTTTTCTCAACCTGGATGCAAAATGATGCTTATTATGATAATCACCAATGTTACAAGTTTAAATAAAATCTATACATTCTAGTCGGTTCATAATTCCTTTCAAGGAAGTTCAATGTATTACAAGTTAAACCTATCTTATCAAAGGGAAATACATTTTCATTAAGATTTCTAATAAAATCATGTGTAAAATGTATTAACTAAATTGCATCTCCCTTTCGAGTAAACTTCGTTTGCAAGGGTATTGTTAAGATCTAAATTTTAAATTTACTAAACGGGAGTAAATACAAAATTTAGAACATGACAACTCCCGCGCGATTGCACCTCTCGTTTAAGAAGAAAAAGCAAAGGGAGCTTTATGTGTGCGCAAGCTTACCTCCTCCGTTTCTCATACATAGATATGGAAATCTCCAGATATTGCCCAGACCAACACAGTAACCAACCATAGATAACATGTAGTCAAGTTTAGCTCCCCATCGTCCCCTCTCCATATTGCCTTCTGATTGGTCACTTTCTAGATCCGATGAATCCTGGCTTGCCTCCCTTGATTTAACTGTTTCTAGTTCCATCTTAAAGGTTTTTTTCCTTCACAGTACTAACTGCTATATCTTTCCTTCAAAAAGAAATTGCACATAAAACTTCAAATAATTCACTTTCTAAATGAAAGTTTATGTATTTTCAAATTAAATAGGACAAGATCACTAGAATGTTGTGAATGGTTGGCGCATCGTTAAAGATACGTTTGAACCCACGTAATTTGTGTTTTGTATGATTTTTTTAAAATGAAGAATGTACTTTTAACTTAAAAACGACTGGATTAAACAAAAATAAATCATCCAATATTTAAAAAAAAAACGTGAACGTGGGATTCACGAGAGGCTATTAAGAACATGTATTATTAGCAAATTCACGAAGATGGATTATGCATTAAAAATGGATCTTGTAACAGCAGTAAAATTCGGTTATAATTAATCCTCCTGTGATGTCATAGGTTTTTGCAAAAACTGTTATTAATTTAAATTCATACCCCATAGAAACATATCTTTAAGAAGAATGTTCCAATGGGTGTAATGACAAATATTTTTTTTTAGTTAAAGAATTTAAAAATTGAATATTTTCTTTATTTAGTCAATATTATTCAATATTAAAAAAATGTTGCTAAGGGCAATAACTCCTTCTCATGTATCTATATTCAGGCATTTTCCTTATTGTACTAATGTTAAATGGCTTCCCTGGTATTCACAATTCAAACATATTTCAGCATCACAATTATATATTTGAACCAGTTTTTACATTACTTTTATAATACTGTATACTAAAAAAATGTACGATTTTTTAATGCTGACATATGCTTCTGTTTATTTATGTCATACATCTTAAAAAATATGGCAACTATATATTTTTGCGATTCTTCATTAATTAAACTATATTCAGTGAAAAAATACAGTTTTTCTACTTTGATTCTATAAAATTGCTAGGATGGAAATAACTTAGGTCACTCGGACTTCGCATTTTGCTTCCTTGAATTTGATTGAGATTCTTTATATCAACATGGTACTCATAATAGACATTCTCAGTTAAATAAGATCGATGTTTATATATATATATATATATATATATATATATATATATATATATATATATATATATATATATATATATATATATATATATATATATATATATATATTTCATAAGATAGTTTCAGAAATGTGGTGTGTGAAAATGTATAATAGGGAAAATGCATATCTTATTTTTTTTTATGAATTATCCTTTTTTATCAAATTGTTTTCATTATCATTGGTTTCATATACAAATTAGATTAATTATAACTCCCACCTATCCAGATAAAAATTCAAAATTGAAAATATAGTCAACTATTCACCCCCAGAACGCAACCAGTTTAAGGTTAAAAATAAAAATCAAAATTAATATTAAAATAATGCAAAAAAAGATTTAATTTAAACAAAATTTGATTTCTGCGTTTATTCATGCAGGCGTAACGGATATGACCTTGCAGAAAAAATACATAGCCTTCGTAAACCGGATATATATAATATTATTTTCTTTTCTGCAATGTGTCACTGTTTTTGAATGACAATGCTTTTTTCGTTTTTTTAAAGGTTAAATATATTTACTCATAAACTAGCAGATTATGACCGTGCAAAATGTATATTTTGCAGATTCTTAAATATTGTTTATTTTCTACTTGTTTATGATTAAATATATTTAACATGAAAAGAGAAAATTATTGTCACTCAAAAACCTGTTCATTTTCACACGTTGACAAATTTATGTTTGCCTCCTTTATCGATTCCAGTTTTGAAAGACATTTTCACATCCTATTTGTATAAAGTAGGTGAATGTGCGTAAAATGTTGTTTTATTCGTCCATGGAAAGATGGAAGAGCCCATTTTTTATCCCCCCGTATCGAAGATTCGGGGGGTATATAGTTTTTGCCCTGTCCGTCCGTCTGTCTGTCTGTTTCTCTGTTTGTCCGCAAAAACTTTAACATTGCCAATAACTTTTGATTGGTTGGGGCCATGGCTTTCATATGTGTATTCCTTGTGAAATACCTTTCTTTGGGTACCAACATATTTGACCTTGACTGGAGTTTGATCCAGTTTTGCAAAATTTTACCGAACTTTAACCTTGGTAATAATAACTACTTTGACCCTTGACCTTGGAGTTTGACCTGCTTTTGACAAACTTTTACCTTGGTCATGACTTTTAAACGGTTTGTGCTACAGCTTTTTTATATTTCATGTGTATTTCTTGTGAGAAGGCCTTTCCTTGGCCACCATTAATTTTGACCATTTGACCCACTTTTGAAAAACGTTAACCTTTTTTATATATATTCAGCGGTTGCTGCTAGGGCTTTCATATTTCACAGGTATATTCCTCGAGACAAGACCTTACCTTGGGACGAACATATTTGATTTGTATTTGAGAACGTTTAATCTTTGCTATAAGTTGCCATAGGGGGCATCAGTGTTTCACAAACACATCTTTTTTTCCGAAGTCTTTCAAACAGATGGCTTTAAAACCGGTTCCAACTAGTTTAATGTTAATGGATTGATAACAGCAATGAATCTTCTTAAGAAATCAAAAGGAAAATATTAAGTGGATGAAAATAATTTATTTTCTTTCTGTGTCACTGATTTAAAATATACAGAAAATTGCAAGTTTAACTTCGGTCACAACCAATTTCAGCCATCGTGAATCCTAGTTCAAACTCCTCCTCAGGGGATTTTGCGGTTTCTTAAATCTGCGTTCAGCATAGAAAAACCCTGTTTACTTATACATCACGGATTCGGTTGGTTGTACATGTAATCAATTGCATTATTGTGAACGTAAAACGAACAAGTATTTTCCCAATTCTGTTTAATTAAGAACAAAATAAATCTCATATATATATATATATATATATATATATATATATATATATATATATATATATATATATATATATATATATATATATATATGCACTGGTTACCCAAAACAAAGTCAAAAGAGAAACATAAACCTATAAGGATTCTGTAAACATTGCCTTTATAATGATGCATATTTTGGACATTTCTACACATTTGCTTTAATTTCCCCTCAAAAATCTGACCCCAGGCTAGGAATTCCTTTCCAGTAAAAATGAGGAATTTCTCCAAAGAGCCATTGATCTTTATTTTAATTCAGAAACTCCCACTTTCCAATTTAATGCATTAAATTTCATTTTATTACCATTACTTGTTTTGTTTACTTTTTGTTAGATTTTATATTTTAATATACACAAATTCGGAGAGCAAGCCTCGTTTAATTTATTAAATATAATGTAAATGCTCTGTGATGATAAATATCATATTAAGATGGTACAATCACCCTATGACTCTTTTTTTTATTTGGATATTATCACAAACATAAAATGTCTTAATATTTAATAGTCATGCTAATATTAATGTATTCATACTCAAGCAAAAAATATTTCCCTGAGTATATGAGATTGTTCGTATGTCTGTAACGTACACGTAGTTGCATTTAATTATCTTATAGCTGAAAAAAAAAACTATTTTCAATGTATCTAATAATATAGAGCCCCACGATGTATATTCCTTTACATCCAGGTGATATTTGTGGTGAGAAACATACACCCTTTTTCATGTCCACTCTGTTCAATATTCATAAATTTCCATTTACACTTGATACATGTACATCCGTGCAATATGTCAATTTTTTAAATAGTCTTTCACTTCATATTTAATTTATGCATATAAAATTGAAAAATATTAATTTGAATTTGTTTATCGTTTAAAGTTTTACTACATAGTTTGACTAGGGTATTAAGCATTTAAACACCATACTTACCTTTATCAGCCCCCTGCTGTATACAAGTATATCAATTGGTGTTAAATGGAAACTTTACCGGTATAACGTATTTGACACACTACGTGAATTAATTGTAAACGGATGTCTCCTTCCCGAACCACTTCATGAACTGATGCTGAACTTAATTGTCGTAATTTAAACTACCGACATCATCTAGCATACCCGTGAATTTAAGATGTACACTTCAGATTTCTGGTAAATTTTCATGAAAGCAGCATTCCCTTGCGCGGAACAGAAACAGTTATTTAATTGATTTTAAGATACTATGTAGCCTTTCTAATTTCAACGTTCGACGAGTATAGCAAATATCAATCACTCAAATCAATAATATTTACATTAATTAATATTTTCTTCAAGTAAAGAAGCACATCTTTGCTAGAAAAAAAAGATGCATTTTTTTTTTACCAACAATGTGTATACCATATGATTTAAATCTGCTCCAACGTAGGTTTTTTTCCATAGCATTTCAACTTTTGACCCCGACTCCTGCATTTCATGCAGAGTGCATGTGTTAGCGATGATGTTGTAATGTGTGTAAATCTACAACCTACTATCTACCACCCATCTCCTTCTCTGTCTGTAACTTGCATTTTTACTATCTAGAGCAATTCCCCAAAAAATGGAGTTTTGCATCTGACCTCTGAACCCTAAGCGTCCGACATTTTCTACATGATTCACTTGTAAATGTCTAGCTAGCATTATTTTGTTATTCTTTAAAACTCTTTGGTAATTTTCAAGATCTACTCTGCCCTTCAAATCCTATTATGTTTATGTTCATAAAACAAAACTAGAGGTCCAATCTCACAATATGATACCCCCATCCCCACCCGCTCCCATATGAGTATATTGGCAGTGTCCATTTCATGTAAATGAGATTCTATGAAAATTCCATTGAATTTCATTAAGGAGTACGGTTTAGGAGGAGTTGCGTTAAGAAAAGCCTTCACTTATACCAACTCCTCTTATAATCACTAATATACTATAAGTGCCACTGTGCACCTCTTATTCTAAGTTTCGCTATATGTGGGGTTTCCCTCAGCAAAAACGTGGGTTTTGCCAGTCATTTATCTTATTAATCTCTATAACATAGTGATATTGTGCACCTCCTATTTTTTGAAATTCCCACAGCAAATCATGGACTTTGCTATTTTTTATTTAACATTGGGGTACCATACTCTTGTCCGCAAAACCTCCTATACCACTAAATAATAT